GCTTGCGACTCCATGACTTCCGCCTCTGCTCTGTTGGCACGTGGTGTTCTCCCTAAGTGTTTGTCTTCACACGCTATCTTCCATCTTTTCATAAGGACCCAAGCCCCATTGGATGAAGGGATCACCTTACTCCAGTGTAATCATCTTCACTAATCACACCTTCAACAACTCTATTTCCAAATAAGGTCACATTATGAGATATACGGGGGTTAGGACTTGAGCATATTTCTTAAATTGTCTCTTTATTTTTAAAAAATATTTACTTATTTGTTTATTTGAAAGGCAGAGTTACACACAGAGAGAGATCGATCTGCTGGTTCACTCACCATTTTGGCCTCAATGGCTGGAGCTGGGCTGGTTCAAAGGAGCTTCACCTGGGTCTCCCACGTGGGTGCAGGGGCCCAAGCACTTCTACTGTTTTCCCAGGCACATTAGCAGGGAGCTGGATTGGAAAAGGAGAAGCCAAGACTCGAACTGGGATGCTGGCATCGCAGGCAGCGGCTTTACCTGCTATGGCACAATGCCAGCCCCGAATTGCTTCTTTACTTTTAAAACATTTATTTATTTTGCCAGAGAAATAAAGACTTCAACATACTTTGAAGAGAAACATTTTAGTTTTTTTTTTTTTAAAGATTTTTATTTATTTGAAAGTCAGAGTTACACAGAGAGAAGAGAGGCAGAGAGAGAGAGAGAGAGAGAGGGGTCTTCCATCCGCTGGTTCACTCCCCAATTGGCTGTAACGGCCGGCCTATCCAAAGCCAGAAGCCAGGAGCTTCTTCCGGGTCTCCCATGTGGGTTCAGGGGCCCAAGGACTTGGGTCATCTTCCACTGCCTTCCCAGGCCACAGCAGAGAGCAGGATCTGAAGTGAAGCAGCCGGGTCTTGAACTGGCACCCATATGGGATGCTTCAGGCCAGGGTGTTAACCCACTGTGCCACAGTGTCGGCCCCAGAGAGACACATTTTAACCCATAATGCAACTCCTTAGGATACAGAAGATAATTCAAACTGTGAGTCTACAGGAGACCATTCCCTTAGGCCCTAGGCAGTGAGTAGAAAGGAGATGGAAGATGGAGCTTTGGGGGAGGCCTCCCTGTAGAGCTGAAATGAAAGACCAGCAAAGGCGACAGAGAGAGCAGCAAGTGAAGTAGCAGCAAAGTGGGAGTGTGTAGTGTCCTGGTGGCCAGGGGAGGACAGCGTGGAAGGGAGGACAGGTCAGCCAGGGCCGATGCAGCTGGAACATCTAGAAAGAGGAGTTAGAGGGACGCCCTCTGATCTGACAGCCATGAGGTCATTTGTGACTTTCACCAGCACTGTTCCTGCAAAGGGACTAAAGCCTGATGGGTGTGTGCATGGAAGGGAACAGGAGGAGCGAGGACGGAAAACTGTGTATTTCCACGTTCACAGCCTGTCTTTCCACACTAGCACGGCCATCTGACCTTGGGCATCTGATTCATTTCTGTAGGCCACTGCCCAGCTCTGAATATTATATCAGCCAGTGTCTCCTTCAAAGGTGGCCGCCTGCAAGTTTCCACTTTGGTTGCCTCCACAGAGTAGAGAGATATCACAGGACAGGGGTGGATTCCTTTTGTTCCTTCTAGGTCTAAAATTCTGTGGTTGTGTCTCTTGTTCTCTCAGCCGCCCTTGTATTAAATAAGGAATTTAATTTGTCCTTTGTTCCCATTTACTTGTTTTGGCAAACAACTGTTCCATGAAATGGCTGGAATAAATGTTCCATTCACAAATTTAGCAAACCCTTGTTGAGTACCTACAATGTAATGGATGTAGGAGGCGAGGCCCTGAGACTTCCCAAGGCTAACACTCTGGTCTGGAACCTCTGATGTGGCTGGTGCCCCGTGCTTGCCGCTGCGGGGGGGAGGGGGGTGCTGAGTAGCCTCAGTGGGGAGGGCTGCAGGCAGCAGCTGTGCGCTACACAGAGTGGCATTCACCCAGGCCTAACAAGCACCCTCTATCCGCCTCAAGGCCGCACAGAACAGCTGTTCAGGCAGCGGGAGGGGAGGAAGAGGCTGTGGGCAGGTTCACCCCGCCGCAGGGCCAACACCCAGTTCTTTGCTCCATTTAGGGCTTGAGGTTTCTGTCGTGGTTGACCAGCACCTTTGGGTGGTTCGCTGGTGCACCATGCCTTTTGGCTCTGCCAAGGCCCCGCGAGGCAGGGCACGGCTTAGCAGCTGCATTAAGGTGAAGAGAGGAGCGAGGGCTCGGGGTATTCCGAAATTTGCGGATGAGGAGCAGGCCTGGGGAATAATGGAGAGAACGTGGATCTCGTAACTCATTCCTGGATGCAATAAGCTTCACCTGATCCCTGGCCTCGCCCTTCCAGAATCAAGGCATCTCAGTTTCCCGAGAAAAGCGCCCTCCCGGATCACACCGCTTTCTAACATACTAAGTGCTTTCTAGGTGTTTATTAAGGGTGTGAAGAGCCAGGCCAAGCTTCCTCCTGGAATTCTACACAGACAGGCCTTCCCACGCACCTGACCCAGCCCCGTTGTTCCACTGCCCACTCATTTTCTCCGTCTCTCCCGCTCCAACCAAGACGGGAAGCAGGAGACGCACGGGTTCGTGCTCTGAGGCCCGGGTTGCGCGCGCCGTTTGCCACCCGCGGCTGCCGAGGCGCGCCTCGCCCAGAACTATATTTCCCAGCAAGCTCCTCGCGGTCCCCCCGCTGCGGCGAGAGCGGGGCGCATGCGCCTAGTGCCGCCACGCCTGGTCTCTGAGACGCTCCTCGGAACCGGTTTCGCGTCGCCGAGCCGGCTGGTCCCGGCACTGCGGCTGAGGTGTTCGCTCGCTGCACCTCCCTGGAGGTAGCGGGGTCAGGCGTGCCCCAGCTCCGGTCAGTGCCATGATCCGGCAGGAGCTCTCCACATCCTATCAGGAGGTAGGAGGGAGCGGGGGAACGGAAGGGAAGTTTTCTTGTGAGGCGGGGACCCGGGGGTCTGCGGGTGGGCGTCCGGGCTGCGCGGCGAAGGCGCATCGGAGGCCGGGGTCGGGGCGCCCGGAGACGGGTTCTCGGGGCCTGAGGGGGTGCAGAGGAGGGAAGCGGGCGCCCAGCCGCCCCGGATGCTGCCGTTCGCCTGGCCGAGGGATGGAGTCAGGTCGCCGGAGCCAGCAGGTGAAAGCTTGCAGCGGCTCGGGCCCAGTGCGCGGCGTGGCCAGCAAGTGGAAGCGCCTGCGTCGTCCTTGCGGGTGGGTATCGGGCGAAGCCCCAGGGCCCCGGGGGCCGGTGGTGGACGGGAATAATGACCTCTCGTCTCGCCGGCCGCCCAACTTTGAAAAAGCGCTGTCGCCGCTGCTCGCTGCAGCCGCACCTCCCGCGACTTCAGCGGTCACTTACCAGTTCTTTGTCTCCTGTCTGCCTTGCTGAGCTTCCAGCCTTTCCTTCAGACCAGCGCTTGCTCCCGGCTCCCCCCGCCGTGTTAGCGCCAGTGCTCTGCTCCCCTCCCCCTCCCAGGCCCCCAACCTCGGTCAGCTTTGCGGACCTTTCTCGCCTGTTCCCCGCACCGTGGCCCCGGCGGCACTTGCCAGGGTCGCTCCGTCACGCACCAGCAGCTGTATCTTCCATTGCCTTTGCCATCTCCCCTCCCGAAAAGTGCTTAGTTAGCTCAGTGCCTGACAGGCGGAGACCCCTCCCTGAATAACTCTTTGTTTACAGGACGTGGGCAGCTCCAGCTTCTTAGCTTCAGGGTCTTGGCTAAATCACACCCTGCACCTGCCATGCAGACATGGCCCCCTCCCCTAGCAGGGCTCATAAAGGTGCTACCGAAATCCAGGTAGTCATCCTGCTTGCGAGGGGGAAGGCCAAGGATGCAGTCATTTGCGTTTTGGGGGCACCCTGGTGGTGGAAGGCATGGAAAAGCCCCCTCTCCGGAGGTGAGTTTTTAATGACTAAGCCTTGAAACCTTAAGCGATGACACTGTGAGCCCAAGAAAGCGCTGAGACAGCTATCCCCTTACTGTGCCTCCCAGCTCGGTGGTGGCTCCTCCTCCAGACTCTGGCCTTGAGCTTCCCTGCCCTCTTAGCACTGTGGAGACTTGCTGATGGTCTTCCCTTCTGCCCTCCTTAGTGACATCCCTTCCCCCACTTGATAGATGAGAGCCCTGATCAGGTGAGGTCGCCCTTGCCTGCCAGCAAGCTGCTAACTGACACTTGTCACCTGGACTGCCTGTCACACTTGGTTCTTCCGTTTGCAACCAGAGTGAGTGGACTTCAGCCAGAGTCCCAGACAGCTGATTCCAGCTTCGCTGTTCCTTTTTCCTCTCTCAGCAGACCCCAAGCCACATTTCCTCTTCCTTTGGGAAGTGGTTAACACCATGGGCTTTAGATGTAGAGCAAGCTGGGTTTGACTGCTGGCTCTTTCACTGGTTGTATGGCCATGGGAAGCATTGTGGGTTGAATTGTGTTTTCGGAAAAACAGGTTGAAATCCTAACTCCCATCACCTGGCTTGGAACTAGGGTCATTGCAGATGTGGTTAGTTTAGGACAAGATCATGCTGGAGCAGGCTGGGCCAGCAATCCAACATGACTAGTGTCCTTAAAGAAGATGACCACGTGAGGATGCGGAGAGAATGCCTTGTGAAGGTGGAGGTGGGAGATTGGATGTGGCCACAAGCCAAGATATGCCAAGGGTGGCTGGCTTCCCCAGACACTGGGAGGGAGGCGTGGAACAGATTCTCCTGCAGAACTCTTCAGTAGGAACAACCCCGCCAGCACCTGGTTTTAAGACCTCTGGTCTCCAGAACTGTAAGAAAAGACATTTCTGTTGTCTGGAGCCGCCCAGCGTGTGGTGCTTTATTATGGTAGTCCTCGAAACCCAATAGGAAGTTTCTTGAGCTTTACTTTCTTAATCTGTACAATTGGTATAACACACCCTATGTCATGTGGCTTCTTTTCAGACAGTTGACTAGTGCTTTTACTTCCTTATTCTAATCTGGAAAAGCAAGGCTGATGGAGCTGACCTGTTTGCTGTCTTTGCTCTTCCCGCTAGCTGAGTGAGGAGTTGGACCAGGTTGTTGAGAACTCGGAGCAGGCAGACGAGCGGGACAAGGAGTCGGTCAAAATCCAGAGTCCGGGCATCTTACCAGGTGAGTGGGTTCCGTGCTGGGGGTGCAAGTGCTGGAAGTGGTACTGTGCTGTTGCTGCCGCTGGAAGCTCCAGCCCAGGCATCTTGCCAGCTGTGGGAGTGGAAGAGCCCCTTGCCCGGGACCTTGGTGTCTGGTGTCAAGTATTGCCCTAGTTTCACAGCCATACATATTTAACCAGCCTCGGGACAGAATGTGTAGCGTGGTGTCTGCTCTTGTCTGTAGCCCAGTTGGAGCTTGTTCCTGAGGCCCGGGCACTGGATACAATGGCACATTGCTTTGCGTCTGTGCTCTCCCATGCCTCCTTTCCCAGGGAGCTTCTGGCAGGTGAGCCTCTCATATCTGGGCCACGTCCAGAGCTGTCTGGGAGGCTCTCCAGGCCCCACCGTGCTGCTGCCCCACTGGGTGAACAGAGGCCCGTGAGTCAGTTGGCATCTCCTGGAGCCTCACAGCTGCACCTGTGGGCTGCTCGCTCCTGGATACATCTGCTCCCTTAGCTTCCCTGCTGGAACTCCTCAGCTTACTCCTTCCAGACGCCTTTGCAGTCACCCTGCAGCCTGTGGGGGGTTCAGTGACTACTGTGGACCTCCTCCTATCGCTTCTTGGCTATCTTACCCAGGCCTGCTCCCCTGCTGCAGCCCCTGCTTGTTCACATGAAACTCCCGAGTTTGCATCTCTAGCCCAGAGGTTACCCACACACTGCTGACTCCTGTAGCCTCTACAACCAGTTTGCAGGTAATACCTTGTGAGAATGTCTCGAAGGTGCCCTATGAGCCACATGTTCAGAATTGACCTCTTGGTTTGCCTGTTCTCTACTTGGTCCTCTTCTAATGTTTCCTGTTTACAAGAATAGCACTACCACTCATGCAGCTGAACTTCAGAGTCATTCTTTTTCTTCCTTTCATTCCCTTTTTCTCTGCCCCTCTGCCAGTCTCTTATTTTAGATTTCATTTCTTTGCACCATAGGACCTTTTTGTTGTTTTCTCTCTCTCTCTCTCTCTCTCTCTCTCTCTCTCTTTTTAGGATTTTATTTATTTATTTGAAAGGCAGATCTACACACACATACACAGGGTTGGGGGTAGGTCTTCTATCTGCTGGTTCACTCCCAGGATGGCCACAGTGGCTGGAGCCGAGCTGATCCTAAGCCAGGAGCCAGGAGGTTCTTTCGGGTCTCCCACATGGGTGTAGGGGCCCATGCACTTAGGCCATTTTCTACTGCTTTCCCAGGCCATAGCAGAGAACTTGGATTTTAGCCGGGACTAAAACTGGTGCCCATATAGGATCCTGGCACTGCAGGATGTGGCTTTACCTGCTATGCCACAGCGCCCCTGTTTATTTTGTTGCTTGGAATTTTCTTTGTTCTGTCACCTAGTTAATGACTAATCATTCTTCAGCTCTCAGCTGATGCTTTCCTTTGTTTTTTCTTTTTAACCTTTCCTGACCTGGCCAGATCACTTGTCTCTCATGGACACATGGTACTACTCAGGTTTGTGTTACCACAATGGAATAAATGGAGGTAACTGATTTTATAAAGAGAAAAGGTTATGTAACTCACAGTTTTGAAAGTTTGGAGTCCAAGATCTTATGGGGGAGGTTTTGGTTTAGCTTCTGGTGAGAGTGAAATGGATGACAATGGTGGGGGTGTGTGCAGGAGCCAACAGTCACATCTCAAAACAGGAAGCAGAGACAGAGATCCTAGGATCCCCTTGAAGGGCAAAGTCCCCAGTGACCTTAGCACTTCCCACAAGACCCCACCCCTTAAAAGGATCCACCACCTCCTAGTAGCACCATTCTGGGGACAAGCCTTTAATGTGTGGATGTTTTGAGGGTCACCCAGACTAATATCCAGAGCATAGCAATGTGTCTTTCCTTTGCAGCTATTGCTGTGGAATGGTGTATTCATTTATTTTTAAAGATTTGTTTATACAGAGAGAGGGAGATAGAGATCTGTCTTCTACTAGTTCATTCCCCAGATGGCCACAATGGCCAGGACTGGGCCAGGCCAAAGCCCGGAGCTTCTTCCCGGTCTCCCATGCAAGTGGCTGGGGCTCAAGTACTTGGACTGTCTTCTGCTGCTTTCCCAGGTTCTTTGGCAGAAACTGGATCCTGAGTGGAGCAGCCAGGACATAAGAGGCACCCTTATGGGATGACAGCATCGCAGGTGGAAGCTCAACCTGCCATGCCACAGCGCCGGCCCGGGAATGCTGTATTTATCTGACTTATTAATATCTGTCTTTTCTATCAGAATGAAGCTTGAGGTCAGACACTTGTCTGTTTTGCATACTACCTTGGCCCTGGCCACTCAGTAAAGACTTGTTGAGTGAGTGAATGGGACAGCTTCTTGGGTGAACTGGAAAGCTGAGTTCTGTTCCTTTTGGTACCTGTATTAATGGGGAAGGGGAGCAGGACAGGAAATTCTATAATTATGCCTATTCCATTGAGAAGAATTGTGAAGAAGAGAGTGGTGGGGCAAATAGTGTTTTCTTTCTTCGTCCCCCCCCCCCCCCCTCAGATTTTTTTGTTTACTTGAAAGGCAGAGTTACAGAACAAGAGAGAGAGACAGAGCTCTTCCATCTACTAGTTCACTCTCCATGGCTGCAACGCCATGGCTGGGCCAGGCCAAAGTCAGGAGCCAGGAGCTTCCCCTAGGTCTCCCATGTGGGTGCAGGAGACAAGGACCCAGACCATCTTCCACTGCTTTCCCAGGCACGCTAGCAGGAGCTGGATCAGAAGTGGAGCAGCCAGTACACGAACTGGTGCCCATATGGAATGCTGGCAGTTACTGGCCTCAGTTTAACCTGCCGCGCCATAGTGCTATTCCCACAAATAATGTTATCTGACTGCTGCCACTGTGCCAAGACTCTGTCATACCCATTGCCCATATTATTCTGTTTTGATAAAATAGTTTTTATTTTATTGAAATACAGAGACAGAGATCCCCATCTGCTAGTTCACTTGCTAAATGCCCACAGCAATCAGGGCTGGGCCACGCCAAAACCAGGAGCCTCGATCTCCCATGTGGGAGTAGAAGCTCAAGTACTTGAGCGATCACTCGCTGCCTCCTAGGAAGCTGGAATCAGAAGCAGAGCTGGGACTCCAACCCAGACACTGGGATATGGGATGCAGGCATCTTTTTATTTATTTTTTTAGGTTTATTTATTTATTTGAAGGCATACAGAAAGAGAGAGGTCTTCTATCTGCTGGTTTACTCCCCAGATGGCTATAATGGCCAGAGATGCGCCGATCTGGAGCCAGGAACTTCTTCTGGGTCTCCCACGTGGGTGCAGGAGCCCAAGGTTTTGGGGCCATCATCTTCTGTTTTCCCAGGCCATAGCAGAGACCTGGATTGGAAGTATAGCAGCCAGGACTCAGACTGGCACCCATATGGGATGCCGACACTGCAGGTGGCGGCTTTACCCACTGCACCACAGTGCTGGCCCCCAGATGGTGTCTTAACCTCTGTGTCATACACCATCCTCCCCACTCCCTCACCCCCAGGTGGTTATCTTCATTTTATAGATAGCCTCATTTTTAGGCTAAGGGAGGTTAAGTAGAAGACCGCATTGACTAATAAACAGACTGAATCAGGCAGTGTCCGATCCCAGGCAGCTTCTATTATACTAGTGTTTTTTTTTTTTTTTTTAAACTGATACGTAGTATATATATTTATGGAGTACAATTGATCAAATTGGAGTATTTGACACATCCATCACTTCATTCATTTATTATTTCTGCATGGTGAGAGGACCCTAAACCTCTTCCAGCTATTTTGAAATATGTGATATATTATTGTTGTTAACTGTCATCTCCCTGGTGTACAGTAGAACACCTGACCATCCTTTTCCCAGTCCTCTCTGCACACCTTTGTCTCTGGAAACCACTGTAATTCTATGAAGTCAGCTTTTTTAGATTCTACATATGAGTGAGATCATACGTGAAATCTAGACAGTGTTCAAGTCCATGTTGTCACAAACGACAGGATTTCACCTTTTTATGACTGAATAATATTCCATTAGGTATACAGCCCACATTTTCTTTATCCATTAGATATTCAGATTAATTCCAAATCTTGGCTAATTGATTAGTGCTGGCAGAAAACATGGGTGTGTAGAGATCACTGTGACGTACTGATTTTTGTTTCCTTTGGATGTATACTTAAATGGTGGGATTCCTGGATCATATGATCATTTTTATTTTTAGTCTTTTGAGGACCCTCCATTACTGGCTATGCTATTTTACATTCCCACCAACCGTGTATGAGTTCCCCTTTTCTAAGCCTTACCAGTGTCATTTGTTGTTTCTTATGGATAACAGCCATTCTAACTGGAGTGCGATGGTATCTCATCGTGATTTTATTTGCAGTTCTCTGATGATCAGTGATTAGAGCATCTTTTCATTTACCTATTGGTCATTTCTTGAGAAATGTTTGAATCTTTTGCCTGTTTTTAAATTGGGTAAATTGAGTTGTTTGGTGTTTTGCTCTTAAGATACTTAATTTTTTTTTTTTTTTTTTTTAAAGATTATTAGTTGAAGAGAGAGGGAGAGACAGAGAAAAGGATCTTCCATCTGCTGGTTCACTCCTCAAATGGCTGCAACAGCCAGGGTTGGGCCAGGTTGAAGCTAGGAACTAGGAACTCCGTCCTGGTCTTCCATGTGGGTGGCCGGGGCCCAGGCACTTGGACCATCTTTCAGTACCTTTCTAGGTACATTAGCAGGAAGCTGGATTGAAAGTGGAGCAGCTGGTACTGTGGTAGGTGTCACAAGCAGCAGCTTAACCTGCTGCACCACAATACTGGGCCCCTTAATTATTCTGGATATTAACTCCTTATCAGATGTGTAGTTTGCAGACAGTTTTCTCCTGTTCTGTAGACTGTCTGTCTCCTTGGTTGATTGTTTCCTTTGCTATGCAGAAGCTTTTTAGTTTGATATAATCTGCTTTCTCTGTTTTTCCTTTTGTTGCCAAAAAAAAAAAAAAAAATCCTTGCCCAAAACAATGTCATAAA